ACTGGGAGCCAGTGGAGGTGTATAAGGGTTGGGGGTGATATGTTGCCCGACCTTAGTTTAGGTGAGAACTCGGGCAGCTGAGTTCTGAACATACTGCAGCTTGTTAGGCAGACAAAAGCAGAGACCACTGCAGTAGACGAGGCAGGAAATGATGAAGGCATGAATGAGGGTTTTACTTGCTGGGTCTGAGAGTAGAAGTCAGAGTCTGGAATCGTTCTTTAGGTGGTCGAAGAGATTTAATGGATTTGGTATGTGATGAGTTTGAGAGAGCAGAATTCAGGATGATCCTGAGGTTGCAGACCTCCAGAGATGGTGATCAGGATTAACTATTTGATTTGTGTGTAAAGGGGGGCATATGTTGCCTGGCAGGTCTTCCACTAATTGGATAATCCATGGTTTCCTTGGTCTATGCGGTGAAATTTACTAAATACTAAACGGCAGATTCCCCAGATAGAGTCATTGGTGTGTTAGTATGTGTGTAGACAAAGCAGATATTCATAGACTGAATCTCAGTGTGTCATGAAAAAGAGCTTTGAATGAGTAATACAGGAAAGGCACTGTATAAATCAAGTCCATTTACCAGATATACAGAAAGTAGAAATCTCATGAAAAAACATGTGAATCCTTCAAAAATACTGTTTTAGAAAAAGCTTTGCTTTGTTGACTGTTGGTTTCCTGGCCAAACAGCCTTGGGCAGGTAATTCTACTTTGATAGCAAAACCATTATCTGCTTCAGAGTTCAGACTGCATGCCAGCCTGCAGGCGAAAAGCTGACAGGATCAAATGTTTGCTGTAGTGTTCAGAAAGCAATGCAGCGCTGTACCTGGACCGATACCGTTTCAGGGTTTGTTTGGTTTTTAATTTGTGCAGGGTAAAATATATGAAGCTGATAAGGAAATAGACTTTATCTGTGGCACAATTAAGTTCAAAATACACACATTTGAGAGAAATAGCTAGCAAATACTTTCAAGTTAAATGATAAACAGCTATTTGATGATCCACAAATTGAGCATCGGGTTAGTGACTCCTGTGACTCCTCCTAGTGCAGCTCAGTCAGTAATACTGGCAGCTGATCTTATTCAGCTGAGCAACTGTGCAACTTCAAACTGGATAAAGTTGCTGCTGCCACTCCAGCCTGCTCTGCCACCCACCTCCAGCTACTGTAATAGCTATTCAATCTATTTATAACTCCTGTTCCACGAGGGGGTCCTGTTGCTGCTCCTCCTGCCTTCAGGCTTTCCACTTATGCATGTGGAAGGCTCAGTATGTCCCAGAACACAGACATAGTGCCAAATGACTAAAATAATAAAATAATAATCCAGTTTTGAGTAAAGCTGTCCTAAAAGAAAGCAAGTCCTTAAAATTAAAAGTTACAGACTTGTCTTTTGAGTAGAAAAAGCCTGTAGATGTGATTATGAGATCAAGCAGCGGTTGCACTGTAAAGTGAAACAGATGAATGAGCGAATGGAGTTGTTAAAGTTTGAGAGTTAGAGATTTTATTATTTTATTATGTTTTTGTTCTTCAGCAGTAAAAGGCTGATGGGATTTTAACGTTGCTGTTAATTACTAAACAAAGAAAAAAGTTAAAATCTAACTCTTTTTTTTATAGCTTTAACATCAAGCTTTGCTCTGATTTTGCTGGTGTTTCTGGACTTTCATCCTGATGTACAAAGAGATAATCACATACAGTAACCTGTGCTGTGGTGGCAGGTCTGTCATGCGTGGCCACTGTCTTTGTGCTTTGTGCAGGTGTCTCTTCAGATGGGCAGAGGACCTCCTTCACACTCTTTGGAGCTTCATCACCCCTCCTCGGCTCCGGCACAGCGCTCCTCCTGTATGATTCATTCATCACCAGTGGAGCCCCCCCTTCCCCCTCTGCCCTCACCTTTTCCCACAGCTCTCCTCTGCCTGCCCTCTGTCTGTCCTCTGTCAGCCCGCTTCATCTCCAGCTCAAAGCATTTCACATCCTCCAGAGCTCCTCTGCCCCCTAATCCCTCTTCACCTCGTCTTCGATCTTATGCCAATGAAAAGCTCAGCCATAATTTTCTCTTTCTGTATTCTGAGCCCCCGGCCTCACAGGCCCGTGCTGGCCCCTCTGGGCCTATAGTCACTATCTCCATGTAGACTGCCTCTTCTGTGGTGACCACCGCTGTACAGTCCGAGGCCCCTCACACTGCTGAGCTGAGCTGCTGCGCTGTGCCTCCCTGCCTAACAACACAGACGCAGAGTGGATGAACAGGGTGATTACAGTACAGCGTGACAAGTTCTGTGGCCCAGCAATCACCGTAGAGTAACTGCCATCTGCCCAGCACGCGATGGCAGGCAGCGCTGCGTTATCAGTACTGTAGCGCCCCGGCCGTTGCCAGTAGTCTCCTCTTCTGAACTGGACTGGGCCATCGTGGACTTGCCCCTAAGGTCCACCATAAAGCCAGGAAAGCTGGACTGACTTAAAACTGTGTTTTGTTTTGTTTTTTTTGATCAATCCAAATTCCTATGTAAAAACTCAACAGCTGGTTAATATGTGTATTTTAAACTTGAGTGAAAAAAATAACTAAGGAAAAAGGAACAAAAAAAAAAAAATCTCTTGTCTTGAGCTGTCTCTATTTCAGTTTTTGGATATTTGTGTGCTTTTGTCTTTTACTTTTGTGCATTGATTATTATCAATGGATTATTGTACAAAAAAATGTTACTCCGAGGCAAAAAAAATATGACATTCTTTGAAGCAGAGAAGTCGGTGGCTTAGTTGTCTGTGGTTATGACGGCATTTCTGTACTTTTTAAAAAGAATTACTTCCTTTACCTTTTTCCTTCATCCGACTCAGCAATGAAAACAAGACTTACTGTATGTCACTATGTTCTGTCAGTCATCTGATTATGACGTTTTTGTCTGCTAAACATTAGACAGACCTGAGTCAGAGACACTCACGGAAATCCTGCTCAGCATGATTTTGGTCACATGCCGTTTCCTGAAAGGCACAAAAGGCACCTTGGATAAAAACATACTTAGTATGAGCTGCTTTTGAAGGGGTTTCAGTTGTGGTTTGACTCAGGTCTCTTACAGTTATGTGAACACACCAGTATTCTTAGAAAAAAAAACAGTTCTTTTACTTGAACGGTGTCTACTGTATTCTACTGTAACTTTGACTTTTGGTTCTTTTGAGGCCGAGGGATTATTATTTGGTCGCCGGACTATGGTTTAGTACTGTTCAAGAGACTCGCCGGGCTCAGACGAGCCGTATATGTAACGATTACATGTATTACTGTATATAGCAGATGATTTAATGAAGAGATTTATGCAAGTAGTGTGGGAGGGAAACTTGACATTATCACGATGCCGTTCTTTTCTTTGTTTTAGCCTGTTTGGGTTTCAGATGAAAGAAGGTTGTAACTTCTTGACTTTCTGAAGGTGGCGCACATTTCAGTATCATATTATGTCATAACACCGTGCATAAATCATTACATTAAGAAAGAAGAAGAGAGTTTATAGTGATGTGCAGCAAGATAATTTACCGCTGTAATTGCAGTATTCATTAAGTAGAAAAGTTGATAGCCATAATAGTAGAAATAATGCAATTTTTTTTATTATGGGGAATGTCTAGAATATATTTAACCTCATTTTTACTGAGGAAAACTGGAATTCTGTGACCACACTGTACGTAAAGCTCCTTATCATTTAGATGGTATTAAAGGAGATTATAGCCATATATTAACTTTATCGAGTGGATATAAAAGATCAATGATATGTCAAAAAAGTAAATGATACCAAATGAGAATATATTAGACATGGGTGGGCGAGTGGGAGAGATATGGTTGGGGGTTGGAGACGGAGGACAGAGAGATAGTATAGATATAATAATGTAAAGACAGGATAGTAGGTAGTTAAAGATGAAAGCACTTTTGTGACAAGAAAAGAGCAGAATCAATGCAAAAAATGTCAAATGTGTAACTGCACAATTAACACAGTAACTAACAGTGAAGACTCCTAACCCAGGACCTTTAGGAAGTTTATATTACACGGTAATACACACGTCTTACAAATTAACACTTTATAGCAGGATTATGATATTTTTTAAAGTTGGAATTCTTACATTTTGACAGTCATGGCTAAAAACAAATAGACCGGCTTTAAAGCAACATCTCAGCCACTGAAACAGTCATGGAGTGAGATAGATTTTAGGGAATTTTCACAAATGTCTAAAAAGGGGAAAGGGACATTTGTAGTCTGCAGACTTGTAGACTACACTCTTCCTTTACATTTATGACTTCAAGCAAGACATTACAGGCAAATACGTGGATGGATTAACTTTCCAAGTTGATTACTGAGAAGTCAGAATTAAAAAAACAAACTTTTTCACTTTCATTTTGTTCTTCCAGGAGGAAATTTGGATTTGGATATTTCTTTTTCACAAAAGAGAAAAAACATTAAACCTTGCCGACAGTTAAAAATACCCCCAATATAGCTGTGAGTAGTTTGAAAACATGAAAATGTTTTGTTAAAAGTTTAGGTAACAGACAGGGATTAGTTAACTGTCCTGTAAAATAAGCAACAAGGTTTTTGGACGTTTTCTTTGCAATAATCTGAAAATTTTACTATGAGAGAAAAATAACCCCACAATCCCAAAACCGTCAGTTTTGTCCTGTACCGTCTTGCCTCAATCTGCTAAAGATTGGTTTTCTTCCAGTACAGACGATTATTACCAGCTCTCCGCTTCATAAATCCAGGCCTGCACATGATGAATATTAGTTGTGTATATTTAGCGATAGGAAAGCAAAGATGTGAGAAAAAAGTCCTGATGCATTGTGGGAGCACACGGTGTGTTTTGGAATGCTTTGAATTGTCAGTATCATTACTGGATGACAGCAGGAACCATCACATTTTAATTCATCCTCACTGTACAGACCCACTTTTATCATTTCATTTGACTCCATGCAAAAGAAAAGGGGTGGGTGGGTAAAAAGCAAGGCTTGATGCGATGCTCTAAGTTGATGTGCAATGTTTGTGTTTTACACGGGTAGTGGCGAGACGCTTTGATTGATGACGGACTCCGCGACGGACTTAACTAGCAGTAGTATTTTTCTGCCGTTTAGAGCATGTCATGAAGCTGTGACATCTTGGCGGCGCTGATGATGTCATACTATCGTCACTCGGGCGTTGAGGAGGTCACAGTGACGACAACCATGAATGCTGTTGGATGTAGTTATGCAGAAAACTTTTTGGTGAATTTAAACAATAAATACAAATTACAATTCTCAGCCTGTGTGTTTTGTTTGTATTTGTGTATAGTGAAACGGGGCTGCCGTGTATGACCAGTATAAACCACTAGAGGGAGGCAGACACACATTACAGGTTCAATCTTTATCCAGCTCATGAAAAAGTTGTCAGCTGTCAGATAGTGTTTGTGTTGTTACCGCTGGCAGATACCTGCAAAAGATAAGGAAATTATTTGTGTTTTAAGGTAAGGCAGTTAGGTAATGAATAAAACATGCACGGGGAATCCTTTTTGAGATGAAAGATGCGTTACCGAAACAGCTGCCTGTCAGTGACCTTCACATGCTTTCAAACAGCTAGTTAGAACGAGATGTCTCTGCGGCAGACTTCAGCTTGTAAACTGCAAAAAACACACAGCCCTGGATCACAGTTCAAACTCCCCTGTTTTCTTACCTGACTGTAGCCTGAAGGAATAATCTTTTGATTTGGATTCAGGATGTTCAAAAAAAGAATCAAAAGAATAACTCAGTAGAAAAGTCTTCTTTCTTGTGTATAAACAAGATATTTTCTGGGCTCGACATATTTCTGACAGGCCAGTTTTACCCAAGAAGTTAATGTATCTATCTTTGATCACTTCAGGACATTCTCAGATATCAATGGCATTTCTTTTACTAGCTCACTTGGAAGAAGTAATCAATGCTTTTTTTCTCCCATCCTGTCTGGTTTATTGAATATCTCTGTGTACCCAGTAAAAAGAAAGCATTAATGACTTTAAGTTGCTCCTAAATGCAGCAGTTGTACTTTAACTAATTTAATCCAATTTAAAATATCATTAATCCCTCAGAAAGCTTTAAATACTTTAATTGCAAATTCTGCCTTTCATCTTCTAGTCTCTTACACTCGGGATGCAACCTGAGAACAAAAGCTTGCACAGTGTTTTGTGTCTTGAGGGCCCAGACTTCCAACAATCAACTTTATGCTTCAAACATTCGCTATAAAAATACTAGTTTTGTTCATCTGTATCTTTCCTGGTTACATTTTTTACATTTTGCAATGTCCTTTGACATTTCATGGCATTGGCCTAATATCTCCACTTTGGTGTCAGCTGTGCAGAACTCATGTGGTCAGATGCAGCTTGGCAAACCTAAACTGAGCCGTCATCTACTTTTGAAAGAGAAGCGATTTTCTTCAGCCATATCATTCATACATGTTCAACCATTTTCTAATTGTACTGTTGTAAACTTTAACAATTAACATGATAACTGAGGCCTGGAGAGTCATAGATGTAACTTGGATTTTTTGTAGGTTCTCTGAGGAGTGTCTGACCATGGTGAGATTGGTAACTGTTATGTTTTCCCACTCATTACTGATGAATATGGAGAATAACTTTAAATTGTTTGTAAATAGGTGTATAACCCTTATTGATGGGCAGAACCTTTTTTCAGAGGTGCCTACACTTGCTGATGATCAGTTATGTGCATTTTAATATCAGCAGCTTGCTGTATGTTTTTCCTCTCAATTACTATAGTTGCACAAAAAATGTACATCCTCACACACTGCTTTTGCATTTTAGGTTAGTCTTTGTTAAATAATGATATATTGTAATATGTCATACGTTCCCATGTTCCCATCTCTAGCCTTGGTAGCCTAGGCTTGGGCTGCCAGCTCCTTCACCCTTCACCCAGCTCATTCTGCACCCGACTCCTACAACGCCTCCTGCGAGTGGTGGGGCATGGCCAGAACACTTCACACATGTCCCTTCATTGGACTTGTGGCTCCAAGGCGGGGCACCAGTAACCCTATCCTGGGTATGGTGAAAAGGACGCAGTTGAGGTGAGGTATCTGATGAGGATGCCTCCAGGGCACCTCCTGGGCAAGGTGTCCTGGGCACATCTCACCAGGAGGAGGCCCGGGGCAAATCCTGACACACTGGAGTGATTATATCTTTTGACTGGTCTGAGAACACCTTGATGTTCCCCCAGATAAGCTGGAGGAGGGAGCTGGGGAGAGGGAGGTCAAGGCTTCTCTTCTTAGGCTGCTGACCCTCAACCCCACACGGATAAGTGGAACAAAATGGATGGATGGAGAGCATATGTTGCTGAGGTCATATTTGCCTAATTTTAAGACCTGACAAGGACCAGATAGCTTTTCACTATATCCTGACAATAAATCCTTAGAATTCTTTTTCACATAAATGCATAAAAAATGTTTTATTTGCATATACATGCATGAAAATGTATGTTTGAGAAGAATTATAACGTTTAAGCTAAGAAGCTTGAGCAGCATAATCTAACACAGTTATCTAGAGGAAACTTATGTATTTACGCTTTGATTGTCAGAAACTTATGATCAAACTGACAAAAGAAACATTTTTTCTATTAATCTGATGAATTAAGTCCAACATCTCCCCCGCTTTTAGATTGGTTTTGGTTTCCACCAATGTTTGAGAGAAATATGTAGCTCATTAGCTCCTCAATACTCCACCAATGTTTTACAGAGTAGTACCAAACGTCTGTGTGCTGCTTGTTGCAGCTAGTGTACATGCAGCTCATTAGAGCTTTAAATAGATATGATTAATGAAGGATCTTTAGATTTGAGCAGTCGTGGTGCAAATTAAAACCAAGAAATCTAAAAAAAATATTTTAAAAATCCACCATAAGCATTGCCTTTTGCATTATGCATTGTATTTTAATTCATTTCCAACAAAAATAGTGATTAGCGCCACGTTAAAAATGTTTTTTATCTACTTTGGGGAAGAGCAAGAAGCTGTAAAAACGCAACTGACACAACACCACCTTATAGCATGTATTATAATAACTGCATTTCCAACAGATTTATCAAATTCTGCATGCATTTTAAGTTATGGGCCATCAGGATGAGGTGTTTTCCCGTTTTTCCTTAGAGCCCAGACTTTATATAAAAGACAGACATAACAACTGTGACATCAAGTCGTGTTCTTTAAAACTTCAAGGTCCCCAGCTGTTTGAAATGTGAAGATGAACTCGAATGAGTCCCATCTCGACCTTCTGGATACTGATTGGAACCATTATTTGCATAGTGATCATGATGTTGTATTCAGTAAGACATCAAATTAGCGTTTGAATTAGTCATTAGACCATGAACTAGGAAAGTAAGGATACATTTACCTGTACTTACCTATCAAATCTGACTTCTTTCTGCAACCAGAGGAAATATCATTTTTCATAACTAGACGTTACATCCATTGTTTGCATACAATGTTTTGATAAAGGCATTTAAACGTAACTGCATATGAGCCTCTAAGTATACTTTTCTATGAGAAACCTCGTCACTCATTTATTCCAGCGTTTTTGTGCCATATCCTCCAGACATCAAGGGGCACATTTAGAGTAATACAGAGTTAGACATGATATAAAGGCCTTTTGAAACCAATGATGGACTCTGTGAAAATACAAGCAGCCTGCCTTTGTGCTAGCTCAGGCGTCTTGCATTTGTAATATCATTCATCCTGTCTCGGCTTCAGTAAACTTGTCTCTTTCAGGTGCTAATCCCCTGCATTCCCATATGGGAGGTTGATGTTACAGTCAGCTAAAACCTGCCAGATTTCCCCTGGAACAGCAGCGTTTAGCTGATTGTTACCCCTGCCAGCTCTGTGTGTGTAAGCTCTGTTAGACAATGCTGTCTCAGCTTTCTCTACCTTTGGTAGGGCCGCTGTAATGAGCTCTATTTAACAGCTCTATGCTACGCTACACATGTGCACGTATGTGTGTGTTTGTATGTGTGTGTGTGTGTGTGGGGGGAGGGGATTTCTCTAGTCGGTAATTAATGGCTAATCTCTCTAAGCCAAACAAACGGAAATTAAAAGAGCAGGCTACTCAGCTGAAGATCAGAACACGATTTCAGGGCTTATACCGCTCAGTGGAATTAGATCCTCTCTCACATACACATAGACATACTCACAACTTGTTCAGACCAGTGCGTAAATTAGCACGCACAACAGCTACACCAGGAAGTCCCCAGTGGTCGTTGAGTGTTGTCTGAGTCAAGCATGTGTCAAGTCCAGCTTTCATTTTCCTGTGCAGGGCTTTCTAGTATTTATCACTGACTGGTTGGCTCCTTCTCTCTGCTGCTGTCATTGTCTAATGAGAGGCAGGGAGACAAATAGAGAGAGACAGAGGTGAGGACAGAGAGGAAGACGGAGGGAGAGAGGGGACTGTTTAGCCAGTGTTAATTAAGTTTGGACAGGCTCTCCAGGGAACCATTATGAAAGTCTTATCTGCTAATAAGAAAAAGAAGACACTGTAATTATAGTTCTATATACAGGAGAGGAGAGGATGGTGAGAGGGAAGGAAAGTGCAGCCACGAGTGAAATATTGCTCATACATTAAGCTTTCGGTTCTTGCTGAGCAGTCCTTTCTTTAGCTACGACTAAGGGGCCGAAATGGACGGTGGTTTAAAAGTAATACATAAGGACTATTGGAGGCATTTCAGTGAGTCATTACATCATAAAAAACCAAAATTAAATATTCAACTGTGTAGGTTGTTTTGCACTGCGGGTTTGGGGTTCTTTGCTGAAAATAACTACATAATTGGATGTTAATTGTAGGTTAAAATGATGGTGTCACGAAGAAATCAATCTAAACTCAAAAAAACATGAATTCATTATTGGTATTCTATATAAATGTTGGAATGTGTAGCTGACCTGCTGTGCACTGATTAAAAGACTTCATTAAAGCAGCAGTTCACCAGCAATGCATCAACTGAAGACGGCTTCAATTTTCTCTTTATAATAAATCCCGAATGATGTCCTTCCTTACAAGAAACTTTGCTGAAATTAATTATAAAATATTTAGGAATGAACTGAATTAAAAGTTGATGTGTTTTGTTCTTGTTTTAACGAGGTGATAAAAGTTAGATATTTCAGTGCAGCAGTGAGAAGACAAGTTCTTCTTGTTCGATATCGGGCAAACCCTCATTCATCGATTCGCCTCTGATTTTCTTCTTTTGTGTCAGAACTTCCAGAATTATCACCTGGTCATCTCACTTG